CGAGGTGCTCACCACTATGCATAATATATTGGTAAGAAGCCTATACTAGAGTCATGTAGCGTCCCGTTTGAATATTAGATTTTTCCGAGTTTATTTTAATTAATGGCTTTATTTTATTATTTATATGCTTTAATTATATGATTAGATATGCTATCATTATGTGGATAACATAATTATATAACTTGTTCGATTTTATTTTATGGATCTCCGTTTGAATTTCGGTTTACAAGCCTAAGTCGAATTGTTGTTCGTTTTAATTCGTTTTTAGCCTCGTTTCATGCATGTTAATAAGGGCTTATTAAGTATTTTCTAAGCTTAAGTAAGTAAGTCTTGGAAGCATTATCAATAGTCAAAGCTCTTGTAGGTTCACTTTGCGTAACTTATTGCCGGGACTGATAAGAACCGAGCCATTCACCTTTCTCTAACCAATGGTTCAAACCATGATTCCTTTATCTCAAATCTAAGACCATGAGAATGAAATCAGGTGTATTAAAAGTCATATGAGCTATTTTAGTCCATGTGAAGGTGAAAGGGAGTCAATCATCTTGGCATTTAGTAATAATGTGCTAGGTTGTTGTTATATTGCATGTTCTAGTCTTGTTTTTGCATGAGAGGTGTAAGATTCTTGTCCCCATGTTCCTTGATGATAAAAATCAGAGTATCTTAAGCCTTACCAACCCAATAACTCGTCCATGTGCTCAAGATTCACACACCTAAGAGTTGAAGAAATTTCCTTGCAAATACACCTAAGATTTCTTCATTATTTGTCCCTTTTATAGCCAAAGAGTCAACACCCATGTGAAGCCTTTACTTAAGGCCACAACTCAGCTGAATAAAGTCACATTAATCCTTATAATTTTCGTTCATAATCACCCCAAAGTCCCCTCCAAACTCTTAGAAGTTATATCAAGTTCAAGAGCAACTTAGAGCCTTTGCCGAGAAGAACTTCAACCTAGTTTCATCTTGTTTTTCTTGAAGGCTTGAAGAGGTTAGTATGCTAAATCCTTTTTAGTATTATGTAGGGGAGTTAATTTGTTATTATGTGTGTTAAATTATGACTAAGTTTCATTTTATATGAGGATATATCGATATTGAAAGGAGACCATGTAGTAGAAGACTTATATTTCGATTTTTACTACCTCTGTTGTGTTGCTGATAAGAGCATGAATTACTCATTTTATGAAGTTTTGCTCTGCATATGATATGTAGATCTTTCGGTTGTGGTTATGTGAGTTTTGAAATTTTGATAATCCAAGATATATCGAGTGAGTTATAATTTTTATAAAACGAGTGAGCAAGCAGTTTTTGAAAACCCGGCAGCATGTACTAATAAATGTTTGTCCTGTTTATGGCATCTTAATGTACTTAAATTAATTTTTGATCTTCATAAAACTTATAGGTCTAATGTTTAGCTTTCAAAAAAAGTTTAAATCATGCAATTTAGAGTTTTAGTTTATTTTATATAATTTTTCTAAGTTGGGTTTATGTCCAGAATTTTGATGCAGTGGCTGGGTAAATACTCAAAATGTATGTCCTGAAATGAGGCCTATAACGTGATTATTTGAAAATGTGGTCTTCAGTAAAGTTGTAGAAATTTGAGTTAGCTATCACATGGTTTTTGAATCTCATTAAAAACGTGTCTGTAACTCCGGTTAGCTAGTAAATACTGAAGTCTGGTCGGTTACAAGTTCTCGACATTTGACTGCTACTCAGTTTTGAATGTTTGATAATTTATTTCCTAGTAAACGACCTTATTTACTTTTAATGTCTTTATAAGAATTGTATATGTATACCTTAGGATTACAGTGCCACTTGAATCATATTCATCCGAGTTATGTACTGAAA